GCAGTACATGTACAAATAAGATCTTCATGGCTCCACAGATTAGGGCAGTGATGGCGAACCTTTTAGAGACCGAGTGCCCAAACTGCAACCCAAAACCCACTTATGCATCGTCGGGTGCCGGGTGGGTGTGGCCCATTGGCTGGGTGTGACCAATTGGGGGGACGTGGCCCATTGGCTGGGCATGGCTGCAGTGGTAACGGCAGACTGGATGGGACTAAGAAATTCAATCAATCAATTCCAACTTTGCAAGATCTTTTTTTTCCCTGCAAGAAGTTGAAATTGACTGATTGATTGAACCTTTTTTTTTGCACACGGCAGCGGAGGCCTAAAATGAAAAAGTTTTATAAAACCCAGCTGAAGGCCTAGGACTGGGTCGACAGCGTGTGTGCCCACAGAGAGGGCTCTGAGTGCCACCTCTGGCACCCGTGCCATAGGTTCGCCACCACTGGATTAGGGCAATATTTCTCAACCTTAGGAATTGGTTGGTTTAGGAACAGGATGTCTGGCTGGGGAATTCTGGGAGTTGAAGTCCATACATCTTAGAGTTGTCAAGGTTGAAAAACACTGGATTAGGGATTATCTGTCTAATATAAATTTAGATAATTTAACCCTGTTTGTTTTTAAACAATTGGGAGACATTTGCTGTTCTACTGCAAATCACTTAGAGTTCTACCAATAAATCCTGCTCAATTACATGCCCATGACTAGTCTGATAATCTGGACAATGAGACATTGCAAAGCTTCCTCTCAACTAAAAGGCCACTGAACTGCATGTACCTTCAGATCCAACAACTAGGTGGTCAGTGGAAAGTTACAGAAGAGCAACTGTGACCTGAGGACTCTAGCACACATTTAGAGGTGAAGAATTTGTTTGCATCTTCTGTGTTTTATTAATGAAGCATCCAAAGGTAGGAATCAACACTCAAGCTTTATTACAGAAACAACCAGCTGTAACATCATAATGTCATCAAACCTAATGGGAAGGTGAGCGGGGAGATTCGAACTAGATTAAAAAGTGAACACAATCATCATCTGAACCAAGTGAAAATAGTTGGATGCATATCATGATTTTTCCCATTTTGCAGCCAAGAAAAGGGAAAAAAAACCTTGTAAAAGACAGAACATTGTTCTTTGCCTGCCACCAAGAGCTAATTTCACAGAACTGTTGGGGTGGGGGGGTGGGGAATGAAGGTAATGAAGTTTAAAAACAGCATTCTTCTACTATCTTTATGATCTCTGCATACTGGGAAAAGTGAATTCATAGCAGACTAGGAGAATAGGAAAGTGTCAGTAGAAATAGTAGCTTATCAATGTTACCAGTATATATATTTCAGACAAATGTGATATTTAAAAAATCATAGTCTACAATTATAACCTTTTATAGAAGCATCTTCATAAGAGATTCTGAGTAACAAATATCAGTAGTAACTTTGTCCTTTTGTTCTCTGTAGAGAGCTTTCAGTCACTATATAAAATTTAGAATTAATCATAGGAAAACAAAAAAAATTCTGCCCAGATTCTATGCAACCCTACTGTATATTGGTCACTTTGTGAATCAAGAATGCAAGGCTAAAATCTCTCCTGTTTTATTATTTCAATATCCAAAGATACAAATTAATATTCCAGCTTTATTATAGTAATATCTAATCATAATATCTAGTACACAACTTAATTTGCATTAGATAAAACTTCATAGGCAAAGCACAACCTCTAAACTTGGGAATAATTAATTTCTAGCCCCATAATTTAAGGAAGATTGCGAATATACAATCATTTTGGTATGCAAGGCTACAATCAAACAAAATAGAATAATAGGGCATTTTATATATATTTTATATGTATGTATGTATGTATGTATGTATGTATGTATGTATGTATGTATGTATGTATGTATGTATGAATAAAAGTTAATGAAAATTTAGCTTTAAAAAAAACCGAACCAAATATATAAGAGATAGATAGATGAAATTGTACTCGTGGGCTCACTCTTTGGGGGAATAAATCTGATGGCCACTTGGGTTTACTTCTAAATAAGCCTGTGCAGAATTGCGCTGCACAATTATTAAAATAATATCACTGGCCAATTGAAGACCCAAGTGCTACAAGCACTGCATAGCTATTAAAAGCATCTAGATTAACATATCAGAACAGTAATTTAACTTAATATCAGAGTCTTTAAATTTGCCAAGAATATTTAATAAAAAAAAGAACGGATACAAGATTGCGAAGTCTTTTGGACCTGAAGAATGTCATAGCAACAAAACACACCATGCTCCCTATTGTTCCTCAGGCAAACCTAAAGAGAAAGCTAAGAGCTGTCGAAATACACTTATTTCCTCATATTTCTTTAATTGTTCCCATTATCTGAATTAGAAAATTACACCACAATGAAATATTATGTCCCACTGCAAATGATAAGTCCACATCCTAGAATAATCCCTTCCCTTTCCCAGTAAAAATGTTCTGAGGAAAGAGAACTCAGATCCTTGGGTCCAAGTAGTTGTTTGGGCAAAATTAGCCCTCTGTGACAAAATAGGAATGATTTCTTCAGGTAGCAAACATCTGGGTAACATCAGAGGTAGGTGTTTCTCCTAAATTGTTGAAAGCAAAGTTATATGCCGTGTCAATATGTTGACGGTCAAAGTCCTTAAAATGGCCTATACAGTTTTCTCCTCCAGTGAAGAGAAACAGCCAACAACTCAGGCGATTCATCCACCATTGTCCTTAACATCTGCTATAGGTATGCTGGCTTCTATACATGGAAGGAGAATGGTATCCTTAGCTCAAACAAAGAAGTATCTAGACTTAGCCTTGTCTTTGAGTTCTTTTAAACTGCCCAAAGTAGTCAATGGTAGGGAGCCGTTCTGGATGCTACCTGTCTGGGGATACCCATCATCTTCTGCTACTAGTTTTAAACAAAGTTTCTCAGCAAAATCCCCCCTTTTGAGGATTTGGCCTAATGGAATTACAGGCATTGGACATTCCTCAAATGCACTATTAATCAAGTGCTGGGTTTTTTTAAGGCTGCCAACAAGACCATTGCCGAGAGGGAACATGGAGTGCTTTTTTCCACCCTACAGAGTCACCAACATAGATGTCAAGATATGGCTATTCCTCAAAAGCCACGTGTGGTCTCACTACCATGGTGTATTTTCCATTCAGGTGAGAAACAGTTTCAGATCCTTTCTTCCTGGTTTCAATTTTTCACCTTGCAGTTTAAGTAAGTTTTTATTGTTGTGTTAAAATAATCCCTGCAGAATGAATGCATCTGTTATTGACTTCTTTTCGAGTAATGAAACATCTTCAGGCAAACAACCATCCTCAGAGAACACCAAGGATTCCACAGTTTCTTTTCCCTTTCTTTTTCTGTAACTGTCATTCACCTGTTTGATTTCATTTCAGTATTTAACCCAGAGATCAAGGATTTTTTTTTAACATTCTGTAGTATACATAGGATACAAAATCAACCACATACCATTTATGGTTTGTGAAGCAGCAATCGCAAATTTTCTAAAATGTGTAGGAATGGAAAGTGAAAGCAGAATAACCGAACAGTTAACATTTAATACAGGTTCACTTCAACCAATGCAAATTTTATTGTAGAACATTAAACAAAATAACAAATAGAGAACAGATACGATTGGGATATTTTTTTTCAGTAATGCAGGCATATTTTTATGCATTTATATTAAGTTGTGCTGCCTATTCTGTGTGCCGGTGTGTGTAAGTATGCACACACACACACACACACACACACACACTTGTCGCTGTCTTTTTTCCAAATACTCATTCAGGATCCAGTGAAGGCTCTCTTTTCTTTTTTAATGTATAGTAACTAGGAAGGAAATAGCTAGGAGATTAACTTAAAATTGCTACTCTATATATGGAGGTCTTGACCCAGATTAGGGAGACCCCACATACTTGCTTTTGAATAATTACAAAGAGCAACTGCGCAGTCCAAATATAGCATAATAGGTAGCTTGATCCTAAATCCATTATGCATAATGCATATATATATATATGCATTTTTTAATTTTAATTCTGCATTAGCTAATTATAAACCTTACAGAGTGAAACAATGCTTACTATGTTTTGTTTTTATTATCTTGTCACCACTGCAGGAGCCACCTACTTCAAAGAGCTCTGGTGCCTCTTTACAGCTGCAGACCTATTAGAATAGTGATCCAGTACTCCCCCTTGTTTTCCTAAAAGTGTGCCTGCACGTTTAAAATTAGGTCTTAACTCTTTGATGAGAATACTAGGAGTTGTAGAGAAAATACAATTTGAAAGCACTATTTTAAAACACAGACTCTGTCTATTTTAAAACACGCTCACTGTGTGCGTAAAGAACCTTCCCTTCCAAACCCTTAAGTATACTTTCCAAAGGCTGTTTTATGCTCTCATTAAGTCAGTTACAACTGTTTGGGAAGGTGAATCATCAGGTATCTTGAACATTTTATATAAAAGTCAGTCAGTGCAATATAAAGGCAGACAAGGAACAAAATATTTCCGACAATGGAGTGCAAATTCAGCTACATAAATTCAGAGCAGGAACAGCCTGGACCGAGAAGAGCCAAAACCTGAAGTTTGCATTGTTCATTTTAATTTCCAGCATCTCCACTTTGGGGAGTTTTTGTTTTGCTTCAGTTTATTATTTTTTGTAACTCAGTGTTGGGGCTTCTGTTCTGGTTTTTCCCCAGGCCACAGATTTCTGTTGGAAATCTGACTTGTTTTTCATAAGCACTTCATTTCTAGCATACAGAGCAACAACAGTTGCTTAATAGTCATAACAGAGATTTTAATTTTCAGCACGCTAATACAATGTCTAATTATTCAACAATGAGTCAACCATCCTGAAGGCATACCCATATATCTAACATTGAATTTCCCCCTTCCTTGCCTTAACTCTCTTTTTTATATTGGATTTCTTTTTTAAAAAAAAATAGAGAGAGAGAGAGAGAAAGAGAGAGGGAAAGAGAGAAACCAATGAAATGATTTACCTGTAGAAAGCTGTTGGAGCAGTGTCTCTCATGGCAAAACTGGTTGCTTCGTTCTCAAGGTAATAAGGTACCTGTTGGCTGTGGTGATGAAGGAAAGGCGAAAGTTGGGGAGCCGACTGTAAAAAGACAACAGGGCTTGGGGGAACATTGTTCATAGAATGAAATCCTCCCAGGCTGGTGGTGCCAAACGATTCACTCGCAGGGGCATAAGTGAGGCTGGTGGAGCTGTACACTGGAGCGGCAGTGGAAAAATCGTAGGCAGCACCGTCTGGGTAGTTAAACCCCCCAGTCTTGCTGCTGTCCACATACATTTCACTGATCGGCCGTTCCAGAGGAATCTTCAGTTGTGCTCTGCTGAGAGGCTCTAATTCATTGCCTTGTATTTGGTGCAATAAGGCAACCCCGGAGGTTTTTGTGTGAAGGGTCATGGTCATAGTCAGTAGCAGTGAACACGTCGCATATCTAGGTTCTGTGCTTGAAGAAGAATCAGCAGCTGGCTATCCACCTGGAAAGGGAGCAGGAATCGAGTTGAAACATTTGGCAAAAGCGTGCTCCTCAGCCACGTTATGCAATTATGTATGTATCCAGCTTATCCCAGCCTACAAGAACACACAAGCCAGGTAAGCACCAAGAGCTCTTTGGCTCTCTCTTTCTGCCTCGGAGTCTAACTTTTCATCTGAGCTAATATGTTTTACAAAGGTGCTGGCATTGAGCCAGGTATTTGCCTTCCCTGACATTGGTTTAAACATCACTCCAAAAACAATTGCTTCTGGATCTCCACCAAATAATTGTTCCACTATTCTAGTCATTTAATTTTTCACTATATGTGGTTCCAGTAGTCAAAAACAGGCACGGGAGAAAAGTATAGAGAGGGGCTGACTCAAAGCTCTGTCCATTTACACTGTATTTAGTAATAAACTGGCTCCAATTTATCTCTGCTTATCTAGACTCCTTGTTTTGTTCATCTTCATGTTTGCTAGAAATATGTAATGTGTACAGTGCAATGACCCTGAGTAGGACTACAGTGTGACAGAGATACAGTATGGCAAAGTGTGTTTGTGTGGCTGCACTTGCTCCTGTGTGCAGCAGCCACAAACCATCAAATTCCACCAAACAGAAATGAAAGGGTGGACTATATCTATGTAGGAGAAAAGGCACACAAACATACTTGCTTACTGCAGTTATCCTGGTTTCTCTTATTTAGCTGCAGCCCAATGCTTTTTTAAAAAAAAGAAAAAGAAAAAAGAAAGATAAGTTAAACTTTCTGTTGTCTCATACTTATTATCAGCACAAGTCTTTGATGTGAATTTAAAATGAAGCAAAATATATAGAAATGAAAACTAAACATGTACTGCTTACATAATTGCATGGTAGTTATAAGAGGAAGAGAAATCTAGCAAAAAATACTCATTTGGAATTTTTGAGTTTCCTATTGCATACTTAGTTTGGAGAATAAAAAATACAATTTTAGAAATGTCAAAGTAAATAGATTTTGGCACACTAAGATAAAAATAATTAAAAGAGAATTAGAATATTTATTTTACTATATCAAACACTTAACTCTATAAAAATAACTTATTTGTCAAGCCCATTTTTGCCAATGGATAACTATGTACTTCTACATCATGCATAAATGGCTATAGTGATATAATAGCTGATAAAATGTACTTTTTCCCTAATACTAAAATATACAAATTTTAGTTAGCCAATTTGAATTAAAATTATTTCAAAGAAGATTTTTATCATGTTCTCTAAGATCTGCTTCCTTAGTTAGACATATATTATATATGCACAGGACTGAACTGATAATCAGTTCTGATAAGAAATAGTTTTAAAACAATGCTATGAATTATGACAAAATGTCTCTGTTAATATGCCACATATATTTGCCAACTCTGCAGGACACAGGTTAACAATATAGGAAGTCCAATAAAGTCCTATATTTTCCTGAAATATAGCATAGCAATCACAACATAGCATTAGTCATAACTATATTTTTTCATACAACTGCTAAAACATTTCTAATTATCATCACTGAAAATTATTCCAAGTACTATTCTAAATCTGAAGTCTTGATCTATTTGTGTAGTTTCTATTGGTCTCATCTAGTTTAAATTTTGACTGGAGAGAGAGAGAAAGAAAGAAAGAAAGAGAAAGAAAGAAAGAAAGAAAGAAAGAAAGAAAGAAAGAAAGAAAGAAAGAAAGAAAGAAAGAAAGAAAGAAAGAAAGAAAGAAAATAAGTCACCTACCTGACTATAGAGAGGCAGATCCTAGAGAAATTCTATCAATCTGAATACAGTACAAGCATACAGTACTTCTGAGAACAAGTGAACCAATAAGCTCTGAGTGTTCATATATTGACAGTTTTCATGAGACAGCAATGAAACTCTGCTCACGCATCTTCTGAAATTTGAAACGGAATAGCATTGCTACATAAAAGCTCTAAGTTAAAGGCTAGCTAATGCATGCAGAAAGTTTATTTGTTCAGCCAATCATGTAATGTAGCAGTATTATACTCTCCTACAGAAGACTAGTTAAAGAAACAGATGTTTTAGCTGGTAATTATTTTGAACTTAGCTTTAATCCTGTAGCAGAAAACAGGTTATAGATTACCACAAATGCAATTTCATAATCTTTTAACTATTTAAAAAGACCTGTATGACGAATGGATGGCTTTTTTAAAAAAAAATCAGTTTTAGCAGGGTATAAGAGAAAGGACTCACTTTGAAGTCAAGAACAAACAGGGTGCATTAAGGTGTCTGCAGAAGAGGAGGTCCAGATAACGGGAAAGCGATTATAAAATAGTTGCAGCTGTGAAAAAGTGGGAAACTCAGGCTCCAAGACTAGCATCTAATAATGTACCATCCTAAGTAGGGGGTTGGACTAGATGACCTCCAAGGTCCCTTCCAACTTTACTATTATTATTATTATTATTATTATTATTATTATTATTATTATTATTATTATTATTATTATTATTATTATTATTATTGCCAATTTTGCCGAAATTGTCATTCTGTGCAGCACAGTTGAAATGCATGTAGGCTGAAACCCATTCATTGGGAGCATTGGGGAAACTCAAGATGCTACTGAAAGCAAGGGAGCAAGGCCGGAAATGCAAAGACAAGCAAATGGAAGAAAGAGAAGAGAAATGGAGAAGAAATTAATGCCTCAGCTTTGAGGGGGCACCCCCAATGTCTTTAGGTCTACCTTCTTGCTCGTGAGCCTATGTATCTCCCTCATGGAGAAAATAAAAGCCTTCTCTGATGATATAGTTGTCCATCCAAGTGAGGACTCAAGAAAATTCAGAACCTCAGTCACTGGTGTTTCCATAGATGGGGAGACGGTTTATTGCAGTCACTTAATCACTATCCAAGTAGTTCTCAACTTGAAACCATTCTTTTAGTGACTATTTAAAGTTACAATGGCACTGAAAAAAGTGACTTATGACCATTTTTCACTGTTTCAGCCATGGTCACATGACCCTAATACAGATACTTGACGATTGGCATGTATTTATGATGGTTGCAGTGACCCAGGTATCATGTGATCATCTTTTGTGACTGTCTGACAAACAAAGTCCATGAGCAAGCCAGATTCACTTAATAACCATGTTACTAACTTAATCACTGCAGTGATTCACTTAACAACTGTGGCAAGAAATGGGGCCAGACTCACTTAACAACTGTCCTGCCTTAGCAACTGAAATTTTGGGGTCAGTTGTGGCCATAAATTGAGGACAACCTGTATGTAGAGGAGAAAAAAAATAGAAAAGGGCTAATACTGTATTTAAAGAGGTCCAAAAATCAAAAAGTTAATTATGTGGGATTGAGTGCCTCAGAATTCAATGGGACTTATGACAGAAGGAATCCATAGGTGTCCTTGAGTTTACAATCTCCTGTGTGTAAGTGAGTAAATGTGTGACAGGATAGTAGTTAGTGTGTGAAATAATGGTTTGTGCAGGCAGGCCTCATTTCATTTTACACGAGGTGCCTTGTTTCATTGGCAGTTGGTTTTAATCAATTGCTATTATTTCAGTTAATATGCATTGTCATTGTTTTGGGGGGCTACTGCCTTTGTTTGAGTTTTGTGCATATTTGAGTGTGCATATTTGTAAACATACGAATGTGTCACATATGCACTTTTGTTTTGGGTATGACATGGATTGATTGTGGTGGGAATTGTCTACTGAGCTGAGTCCTCACTTATAATAGAAACAAGGATTGGGAATTCTGTTGCTAAGCAACATGGTCGTCAAACCCAATGTCATATGACCACATCAACTTCTGATGACAGTTCCAACTGTGGCCTTGAAGCAAATCAGCCACAGTCATTAAGTGCAAGGTCATGTGACCATGACTTATAACCTCCTGCTGGCTTCCCCATTGACTGTGCTTCTTGGAATCCAGCTGTGAAGGTCGCAAAGGGTAATCATATGAATGCAGGATGCTGCAAATGTCATAAATGTGCACTAGTTGCCCAGCACCCAAATCACGATCATGTGACATGGGACACTGATGGCCACAACTTTGAGGACCTGTCATAAGTCTAATTCTTCAGCACCACAGTAGCTTTGAATAGATGCTGAATGAGGGCTCGCCAAGTGAGGACTACATGTAGTTTATAGGATACTTGAGTGGGTTTGCATTCGTTTCTCTCACTATCGTTCTTTGAGGGAGAGTCATTTTGGAAATTCAGGTCCATCTTCCTTTTGGTGGTATATTCTTTCCTGACAGAAATGGTAAGGCTTGACATCTGTCATTTGCTCAAAGGTTGCTAAGGTTTTTGCAAAATCATTTATATGGTTGGCGTTGAATCATTGTTTCAAAAGTTAATGCCACCCAATACTCACAACTATTTATAATACCAAATGGATTTAAATATGGCCATAATTTTTAGAATTTTCCATGTATTCATTCAGACATCCACTGCAAGCAACCTTTTATAAGTAGGTATTTATGCTTATTGCCTACAAAGCGGTGCAAAAACTGCTGAATAAACATTTACATGATGGGGGAATAATAACCCTCCATGTATTTAAAGTAAAACAAATGGCTAATGAGCTCTGTTCAAGTGTAAGTAGCTACATTTCTTGAGACAAAGCAGAAAAACAAGTAATTTATGACAGAAGATCAAAACTGTCTAAATATATACCTCTCTTGATATATGCAATAATCTAGTGAGCCAAAGAGAGTTTATATATCCACTTATTCCTTTGCTACCAATGGTGTATTTATTAATAGCATTTGAGATATAAAATATGAAGTAGTGGGACAGCTGAGAAAAATAACCTGGTTGAGGCAGAATGGCTGCCAAAAACGTTTACTGAGCAACTTGTTCTTCTCTACGGGTCTTTTCAAGCATATCCTTCCTTGTTAAAAATATGTTCTTTCCAAAAGCATTCTCTTGAGTAATGTGGTTACATTTTATGAGCTTCAGAAGATGGGTT